CTCTACGTAGTTGGGAGTGTCCCACATGCTGGAGGTTGTTTGAGAACAGTCCATGTTGGAGACTACCGCAGCAAGGCATTGTAAAGGGCATCCTAGGTTGCAGGGCAGGAGTGACACAGCTACTCATTGGTTTGGATTGTACCCTGGTATGTCAGAGTGGCCCAGTCCCTCTGCACCAGCTTTAGGCCTTGTAGCTTCCCCAGACTCCCTGTCAAGGGGGTTTTGTTGAAGACAATGCATAGCTCCAAAGCCATATTCTCTGCTTCAGGGGGGCAGAGGAAGTATGGGATGTGTTCCCTGGCCCACCTACAAGGGCCCCAGGCCACTCATTCACCTTCTTCCATGGAATCCACACATATGGAACACCCTCTATGTTCCAGAGAATGAACCTTCTGTACACAGATCAGGAGAGGACACTCCAGGCCTCATTCAGCACTAATGCTTCTCTGTGTATCCGCCCAAGAATGGGTGCCGAACAAGCAAGAGGAATTCCTCCAAAAGCACTGTAACTATACCCTAGTTTGTAGTTTTCCAAGCCTGCTCTTGCACTACTAGGAAATATATAGTTAGCACTGGATCTGAAGGTAGCATTACAGAATAATTTCTACTTAAATAACCTACCAACACATATGATGAAGCATTATATATAATTCACTAATAAAAGCAATTGAATTCAGAGAGTGAAATCTTGAGCAGGGAGCACTTCTCCTCAGGACTGGAATGACTTCATCTGAACTTGGGAGTGGAGTACAAACACGGAAGGACATTCCCTATACAGTGTTTTAGCATATCTGCAAAACTGTAAGGTTGAGTTTTAACAGCAAATGTATAAGAAGTTTTAATGTTTTCCTTTAGTTTAGGACTAGGTATAATTAGAGAAAGATAAAGTTTTCAATAGCAAATTTTATAACATCTTATTCCCTGCCCCCAATAGCATGAGTCTAATCCTACAATTTCTGTGCTGTCTGCTGAAGAGGTGCAGTGATTCCAGAGCTTTACAACTCTCTCTCTTTAAAAATAAGTGCAGCAAGAAATTATTTTTGATTAAATAACCACCTATGGAACTGGATTCAGTTATGTGGCCTTCTATCTGATGATTCTCCAGGTGGACAGGGACTGGAGTTGTGCAGAAGAAAACAGGGAGAAGATCTTTTGCATCAATTGACATTGAACCCTTTGGTTGATAGGGTAACATTGATGGGATGCGAAGGAATTTGTGTCAGCTTCCTTAGCCAGCGTAAAATGGGAACATCCCTAGGCTCTGAGAAGGGAAAAAGAACATCCTGGAAAACTGGAAGTGGGGGAAGAAGAGAACTTGATTTTACTTGCCAAATAACCCAACACACCCAAAATCTCTTGTTCCAGAAACTATTTACGAATGTTGGAACAAATATAACTAAATTTTATACTTATGTGCATACAGTGCTTTGGCTGCATTTTCTTTTTCAAAGATGATCTGCAAAGGTGAAATAAAAATTAAGCTAAGATCACAAAGTTGCTGAATGCCTCAGCTAACCGGACTGTTGCAGGGGAGGGAACATCAGCAGAGAGAAAAGTTTTAATGTACCCGTTTGAAAAGGATACACACACACGCAGTATTATGCATGTATAAAATGCACTTCCATGTTAACTACAAATAAACCATAATGCAACATTCCAGAATGCCATCATTGATAGCGGAAGTCTCATACTCCTCTGGTGTGAACAACATCCCACAATTATGAGATCATCTAGACACATGGGGGAGCATCAGAAAAGAGTACCAAAAGCAAAACACTGAAGGCTGCAAATGAGAAGAGGATGACCTGATTCTTCTCTCTCTCACCTATTTTACACCACTGTCATTCCATTTATTCCATTAACATTACTCCTCATTTACATTATGGTAAGTGAGAACAGAATCAGGCCCAATAAGAACAAAAAAAAGGTCCCAGATACAATTAGAAGGTCCTATGACCTTTGTGACAGCCATTTAATTTAAGGGGACTAGAACGGTTACCATAAGACTAGAGCTCTGCTCCTGCTCCCAATGAAGTCGACAAGAGTTTTGTCACGGGAACAGGTTCACACTCTGTATTCTGCTTGAAAATGAATGAACACAGCAACAGAAGATTAAAATCTTCATCTCTTACAATAATACACAGCATCACTATTTTTTCTTATTTGTTTTATAATAATTGTCACTTTCCATTGTTTTGTAGATATCAGAGTACTATCAAATTATGCTCTGCTGTGCTTTCTAATGAAAGAAAAGGGACCTTTGAAAGAGTCACAGTGCAGCTATAGCCTTTCACCTCAAAAACAAAGTCAATATTCTAAACGTCATTTGCACATTGGAATATTTGCCACCTTTGTTCAAATTTTAATACAAATTGTAAAATACCAAAAGGTGTTTCTAGAATTTTTTTTATTAACTCTGATACAGTACTAAATCTCGCAATGTTTTACCTTTGTTATGAAGCTTTTTTTATTTCATAAATATAAAAAAGATATTGTACTTCAATGAAAAGTAGAACTGTTACTGCAAGTTAGCAGTTCAGAAAATCAGACTTAAATTATGCATCCTACAGCATGTAATATTCCCATGTTTCACACACATTATATTAGATGTATGATAAATTATTCCATTTTGACTAAAGCTAATTTTATAACTGAAATCAAAAGTTACCACAGCCTGACAATGCACTCAGCCAAGTCAGGTAACAGCACTAAAGTAGGTTTGACCAGTTATCAAAACATCACATCCAGCCAAAAAGCATCACAAGGAAAGCTAGTCAATTCTGAGTCTACCAGAAGTACACTGGGTGATTGCAATTCTTCAAACACAAGGTGATTTTTATATTTAAAAAAGTTTACAGGCATTTGTGTACATCTGTTCCATCCTGCTTATTAGATTAGAGGGTGGGGGGAAATCAAACATCAGGACAGAACAGATTTTCCATTAGGTGACCCAAGTGTTCAGAGGCGAGCGCAACAGTATTTTGTGTGTACACATGATGGAAAGTCAGTCCTGCAAGGTGGAAGCCACCTGTGACTCCCACTGACTTTGAAAGAGGAATTTAGAAAGACGAGTGTTTTAAGATTATATAGAAATTTATTCTGTCACCCATGGTAAAGTTTAGAGACAGGGAAGCTTTGGTCAATAGAGCATGCTTCAAACTCCTCCAGGTGAGGGCTGCTGTAGAAAAATATTTGCCATTAGAAAGCATTTGAAATTCATCACAAAGAGGATTCTTTCACCAGTTACTTAATAAATTGCAATAGGTTGGGTGGTCTTTAATATATTCTACTTTTGTATGCACCACAATCTCTTACCTTGTCATTGAGTAAGACAGCAGGCAACTTTCCTCCTCAGTTCTTTCTTCATCCAGAGGAAGAGATAGTCTTTATATTTGTGTTACATTTATTGCTACAGCTAGCTTCTCCTCAGGCTAACAAAAGCCCAAATTGAATTCTTCACCCTGTTCCCCCCTCCTGCTCTGTTTCTGTGCCACAGGCTCTTCACCAAGAGTCTGCACAAGCGGGTGTCCTTTGATGAAATGCAGTGAGGAGTGACTATCTACCAGCACCAGGAACTTCAGCCTTAAGGCCACCCCAAAAAGAAGCATTTAGCCAGACCTCATGCCCTCTATGCTTCACTGCCCTAGGCCACTTCCTGTTCTACTTCCTAGGACTCTTCATCCTTTCCAAGATTATACTCCCACCCCAAAATAAACAAACTTCCCCCTCCCTAGGATAGTTTCTCCAGCCATCCAGTTCTCATTGAGTTTCCTTCTAAGGTAATCCAATTTGTATGGTTATCCCCATCTTATCACTAATCTGAAGAAAGGGAACTCCCTAAACACAATCTGCCCCCTTCCCAGCATGCTTTGCCTCAGAGCCTGCAACTCTTATCAGCCTTTGGAACTACAAATCCCAGTATTCCTCTGAACTGGCACCAGGAACAGGTTAGAAGTTGATCCAAAACCTGATTTAAAGGAGCTAGCATATCCTGTTGTATTTGGGAGTAGTATCCCTTTGGGGAGAAATGAAGGAAGGATCTGGTTTTCTTTTGGTATTTATAGGTAGAGATAGGTGTGAGCCAAATGTCGCATCTGAATATCCGCAAACTTTGGATTTGTACTTCAGGCCCCTTCTTTAGTTAAGGTCTGGCTATTTAAGAAGTTATATATTGCCGTAAAGACCAAAGGTCAGATTTAAAGAACAATATTTCTAGTTTGGCTTTTGGCTGTGGGGACCTTTGAAAGTCTCACTGAAAGAAAGAAAAAGTTACTGTGGAGCATGACTAGGCAAGAGCACAAACAAGCTGATACTGTAAGGTGCTGAGCAGCCCTTGAGAAGTGCTGAAAGTGAGAGCAGGCCTGTCCAATTAGCTCCAATCTAGTAGCAAAAGAGGGCTTGGAGCGTCTCTCCTGAAGGTCATGAGAGTGTCTAAAGTTGGGGAGGGAGTTTAAGCTTATTTTTGAATGTCTGGTTACTCTAAAGAGAGAATAAGTTTTGATGTATATAGTGTGTGCTCTCTTCAGAGTAAGGTGAGAGCCCTATTTTCTACCAAGTGTTTAGTGATTTAAGTTTTTACTCTCAACCCAAAATGAGATAGTAACAGTGAGCAAAGGCAGCAGTTGCCTACACCCCATGGAACCCTCTCTGAAGTCAATTAGTTGAGAACTCGCTGGTAATTGTTGCTGCAAATACTGTGTGACAGAATTTTCTAGTGAGTACCTAGGAAACTGATAAAGAGCCGTATGGGTGCTGTAGGAGACACTGTCTGAAGAAAAACATCTCAGATATAAAAAAAAAGTCCTGTTCACTCAAGACCCTCATCCACTCTTGGTCAGCCTTACCTATTACAGTAATTCCTCACTTAATGGTGTAGTTATGTTCCTGAAAAATGCGACTTTAAGTGAAACGATGTTAAGCGAATTCAGTTTGCCAAAAAGAATGAAGGTAAATGGGGGGCGGGGGGGTTAGGTTCCAGGGAAATTTTTTTTTGCCGTACAGTACAGTACTGTAGTTGGGAGGTACCCGCGCCCTATCCCACACAGGCACAGCCCACCGGCACTGGAGACAATGAGGCAGCAAGGAGGCTGAAGGTGCTGTAGGCTAGGAGAAGCACATTGTGCAGCAGCACCAGCAGCAGCTTCCCCTACTCTGCAAGCATGAGGGGTGGGGGCTCAACCCTCAGCCTGCCCACTCCACCCCTTTCTCCAAGCCCCCACCCTTAACCCACCTCTTCTTTCCCCCCCCTCCCTCTCCTGCCCATGGCAATCAGCTGGTTTGCAGCGTTCAGGAGAGAGGGGGAGCCTGCGTGCCAAGCCTCACCCCTCCCGCTCCTTCCTGAACGCCTCAAGCCAGCTGATTGCCACGTGCAGGAGGAGGAGGGGGAAGGCGCTGATCTGCAGGCAAGAGGTGCTGGGTGGGGAGCATAGGGGAGCTGATAGGGAGCCAAATGACATTACAGTGAAGTATTGCACAACTTTAAATGGAGCATGTTCTGTAATTGAGCAGGGATGTAAGAGCGAAACAACGTTAAGCGAGAGGACGTTAAGTGGGGAGTTCCTGGACCAAGTCATGCTAGTCCTCAATCAACATAGGGCATATAACTTTAGATAGGACAAAGGGGGAAGAAAGGAATTTTAACCTGGTAGTCCTTCTACTCCAGTTATTGTGATAGTAGCCCAACCCAACAGTCTCAGGTTCAAAGACAAGTAACCAATAATTTTAGCCAACAAAAAAACCCCTGTAATCTTGACATTTTAATTCTTGATCCATTCTGAAAGGGGAAAAAAAAAGCCTCTTGTTCCTCAAATGCCATCATTGATAGCGGAAGTCTCATACTTCTCTGGTATGAACAACATCCCACAATTATGAGATCATCTAGACACATGGGGGAGCATCAGAAAAGAGTACCAAAAGCAAAACACTGAAGGCTGCAAATGAGAAGAGGATGACCTGATTCTTCTCTCTCTCACCTATTTTACACCACTGTCATTCCATTTATTCCATTAACATTACTCCTCATTTACATTATGGTAAGTGAGAACAGAATCAGGCCCAATAAGTCAGAAGACCACCACACAAGCTTTCAGGATCTTCAAAGTCGTGATTAAATCTGACTTAGGTGACCATCATATATCTGTTTTTATTGTAGCAAACAGGAAATAAAGCACAAATTATTTAACTTCTACACTAGTGCCCAATTATTATGGATTAAAACTGGATAAAAAAAGTAACCTGTTCCTAAAAGGAGGAAACACGTCCTCTAATTGTATCCAAAACTCTAAGAGTGAAATTCAGAAATATGCTTTATCCTATAAAATATAGAATAATCTAATTATTTATAAATCCTTTAAAGAGCTTATTATTTATTTAACATTTAAGGATGTGGCCTTCAAATATGCAATTTCTATTTCTGCTGTAGATGCCCCCCCCCCCAAAATGTAAAAAAAGAGATTGGGCCAAATGGTGTTCACGTTACTCATGTGATTAGCTTTATTAAAGTGATGAAGAGCCTTCTCATGAATAAAGTGAACAGGATTTGGCCCCTTATAAACTATGGTCCCAATCTAGCAAACACTCAAACATGAGTAGTCTCACTGACTTCAGCAGGACTACTCCGAGATGTAAAGTTAGTATTTGCAGCACCAGGACCTAGATGGCTTTATTTATCTCTTGGTAAAATAAAAATTCATACACATTTTAATAAGATATCACCTGAAAATGTTTTTGTAAAGGAAAACAAAATATAAATTAAAATATTAGTCATTAGCCTTTTTTTGGTATGTCCCAGATATTTTCCTAATAGTCAGGTTTCAGTTCAGCCACTCAAGATCAATCAGGAAGAAAACAGAATAAATCAGTATGAGCTAAAATTTAAAAATCAAAGATATATCTGCTGACAAAACTAAAACAAAATAAGCATTTGGTAATCACAGTATATTTAAAATAAACCAATTATGCCCCTATAAATCTTGATTTTTTTTTCATATATATGTAATACATAAAGCTACAAAATGGTGATTTAGACACAACAGTTTTCTTGGCAGCAATTGTTATGGTAGAGAACAGTTGCTTAGCAATTGCAGACAACCAAACAATAACACAAGGATCCTATAACTGAATGAACCAATCAATATGGAGCTCAGATAATGCTTATAATGATGGAGACAGAAAATACAATGTTCTCTTGTAGACTTCTTTCTTACAGCAATATCTGAGCCATCTTCTTGTTATCTAGAAGTGGGTAATACAGAGCAAAATGATATAGGGTAACCTAGAAATCTATATATTAAAATTATGCCACAAACTGTATAACAAAAAAAAAAGACTTTATATTGTATATGTACCTCAGCTCATGTTACTATTTAAATTCAAAGTCTAATGGAATCCAAATACATTTAAATGTATTATTTTTGAAGGTCTGAACAAAACAAAAAAGTCATAGCCCCAGATGACTAGGAGGGTTAACAGTGCTTTAGCTTCCTCCTGTATGTAGTGTTATTTCTCCACATTTCACAACTTAAGAGCTGTAATGCGTTTAATCAACAAGAAAGAATTAAGTACAATGACTTTTACACAGTGCAAGGCATAATACAAATTCCAACACCGTCTCATTGGGTTTGCAATTAGTTCATAATTTCATTTTTTAGGATTACAGCTCAGGCTTGCTCAAGTTCTACAAGGACTCCATCACAATCTTTAGGGTGGAGAAAAATCACTGGTTTGCCGTGCGCCCCTATTTTGGGCTCTTCGCTCAATATTCGGATCTTCTTTTCCTTCAGTTCTGCCATAGCCGCTTTTATATCATCAACCTTATAAAAACAAACATGTATACAATGTGGAACATTAAAGTGTATGATTCACAGATTTTACATTAGGAACAATAGTGTAGTGCCATAATAAAAATAAAGCACTACATAATTCTAAAAACCAAAAATGCTACAGAAACATGCAGTTACCTGGAGATTTTAATCAAGAAATGTCAAGAAGATTGTACTATATTTAATAGCTCTGTTTGTTAAGAGATTCTGTAATACATCAACCTTTTAGTTACTTTATAATGCAAAATTAATAAATAATCAAAATCAATAGCTGTAAGCTCCACATTGTTCCTAAATAGTAGATTGTATAGCTTTACAAGATCATTAACCAAGGAATGCTTTCCCATCTAACTGAAGACAGAATCCTGACTCATTAAATGCTGGGGTTATGTACCATTCACTTAGGTTCATCTTGATCTTACCAGTTAGGTTTGGTATAAATGGATCTCCTCAGAGACACCTCGAACTACCAAGAATACTAGAGGATAATACACACCGGACTGTGATCCATTTTCCTCTTGGGCAACTGTACTTCATAGTAAAAGTATCATCACATATATAATTTCAGGGCAACCTAAAAAGAGTATTTAACATGGACTTGTCCTTAAGTTGTGCCAAATGGTTGTTACTTTGGATGTGCTGATATAAAGTGAGACTTTGATTCACCCAGATCTCGAATGCAAGCTTGTTGGAAGAACAAAATTAACATTCAGTTTAGCACAACTACCAGTTAATAAAGTCCCGGCACTAGAACAACAGGAGTGCTGTTTTTCAAGACAGGTGCCTGGACATAGCTAAATGGATAAGCTTAAAAGATGTAATTGTGAAAACATAAACTTTACATAATGCAAATGCAGAGGAAGTAGAATTCAATTAAGTCCTAATCCTTTTCAACTGAGATTTTTTAAAAATCCTGAAGTTGCTGCAGTCATACCCCCATACTGTTACCAGTTTGCTTTTTAGAAAATGCTAATATTAGAGAACCCTTAATTATACATTCTGTGATGGGTAGTAACCCCTTGAGGTTCATCCCCTGAGTAGAGAAATCAGCACAGCTGCCTGCACTTCCTGCAGAGATAGCTAGCAAAACCAGCCGGAAGGAGAAACATGGCTGGGCTCAGCTGGAGTGAATTACTGCATCCCAAGGGACAATAATGAGAGTGAGCTGTGCGAGTCTCTGGGTGCATCTCCATTAGGAAAATATCTGCTTGGTGACTGTGTGTATCAAGAACCGGTTCCTCTCCCCTTCCACCAGGTGTCCAATATGCTTTCTGTAACAGGTGTTAAAGTGTTCCGACTATTCTTTGCCAGTAGCAAATTATTTTCAGCCACACTACAATGGGTCATTTTTCTAGGATAGACTAGGGCTCCTCATTGTAATTTGGCCTTACATAGGAATATCAGGCCATCCTAATGGAAGCCCTAGAGCTATAGGAAGCCTTTATTGATGCTTTTATCTGAACTCTTTTGAATTTGTTTAGAGAAATTTTAGCACTAAATCTCTTGCAAAATTCTAGCTGCCACAAGCCCGCACTCATCCATTTAATTTAAACTCTGACTGTTGGATTTTGTGGATCTTGGCTCACTTGACCTGTTACATTTGAAAATATATATCTTTTCAACATAGTATTTTTACATTTCACAGCAAGGAATGACTGAGTGCCACATTTCTTATAATTTTTCAGACTTAACAGTATGCCATCCTTTGACAGTCATCTTTGGTAACTTCTGCACCATGAAAGGTCACAGATCTCTTGCTGAACAGAGCTCTACATGGAACAACATCATGCTTCTTGAAAGGTTTCAGAGTAACAGCCGTGTTAGTCTGTATTCGCAAAAAGAAAAGGAGTACTTGTGGCACCTTAGAGACTAACCAATTTATCTGAGCATAAGCTTTCATGAGCTACAGCTCACTTCATCGGATGCATACTGTGGAAAGTGTAGAAGATCTTTTTATACACACAAAGCATGAAAAAATACCTCCCCCCACCCCACTCTCCTGCTGGTAATAGCTTATCTAAAGTGATCACTCTCCTTATAATGTGTATGATAATCAAGTTGGGCCACAGAGACCTCCCTACCAACACTACAAAAAGAAGGATTCTAGGTGGACTCCTCCTGAAGGTCGAAACAGCAGACGGACTTCCATATAGAGTGCTTCCGCCGATGTTCACGGGCTGAAATTGTGGAAAAGCAGCATCGCTTGCCCCATAACCTCAGCCATGCGGAACACAATGCCATCCACAGCCTCAGAAACAAATCTGACATCATAATCAAAAAGGCTGACAAAGGAGGTGCTGTTGTCATCATGAATAGGACGGAATATGAAGAAGAGGCTGTCGGCAGCTCTCCAACACCACTTTCTACAAGCCATTGCCCTCTGATCCCACTGAGGGTTACCAAAAGAAACTACAGCATTTGCTCAAGAAACTCCCTGAAAAAGCACAAGATCAAATCCGCACAGACACACCCCTGGAACCCTGACCTGGGATATTCTATCTACTATCCAAGATCCATAAATCTGGAAATCCTGGGTGCCCCATCATCTCAGGCATTGACACCCTGACAGCAGGATTGTCTGGCTATGTAGACTCCCTCCTCAGGCCCTACGCTACCAGCACTCCCAGCTACCTTCGAGACACCACTGACTTCCTGAGGAAACTACAATCCATCGTGATCGTCCTGATAACACCATCCTGGCCACTATGGATGTAGAAGCCCTCTACACCAGCATTCCACACAAAGATGGACTACAAGCCGTCAAGAACACTCTCCCCGGTAATGTCACGGCTAATCTGGTGGCTGAACTTTGTGACTTTGTCCTTACCCATAACTATTTTACATTTGGGGACAATGTATACCTTCAAATCAGCGGCACTGCTATGGGTACCCGCATGGCCCCACAGTATGCCAACATTTTTATGGCTGAATTAGAACAACGCTTCCTCAGCTCTCGTCCCTTAACGCCCCAACTCTACTTGCGCTATATTGATGACATCTTCATCATCTGGACCCATGGAAAAGAAGCCCTTGAGGAATTCCACCATGATTTCAACAATTTCCATCCCACCATCAACCTCAGCCTGGTCCAGTCCGCACAAGAGATCCACTTCCTGGACACTACAGTGCTAATAAACAATGGTCAGATAAACACCACCCTATACCGGAAACCTACTGACCGCTATTCCTACCTACGTGCCTCCAGCTTTCACCCTGACCACACTACACGATCCATTGTCTACAGCCAAGTTCTGCGATACAACTGCATTTGCTCCAACCCCTCAGACAGAGACAAACACTGACAAGATCTCTATCAAGCATTCTTACAACTACAATACCCACCTGCGGAAGTGAAGAAACAGATTGATAGAGCCAGAAGAGTTCCCAGAAGTCACCTACTACAGGACAGGCCTAACAAAGAAAATAACAGAACGCCACTAGCCGTCACCTTCAGCCCCCAACTAAAACCCCTCCAACGCATTATTAAGGATCTACAACCTATCCTGAAGGATGACCCAACACTCTCACAAATCTTGGGAGACAGGCCAGTCCTTGCCTACAGACAGCCCCCCCAACCTGAAGCAAATACTCACCAACAACCACATACCACAAAACAGAACCACTAACCCAGGAACCTATCCTTGCAACAAAGCCCGTTGCCAACTGTGCCCACATATCTATTCAGGGGACACCATCACAGGGCCTAATAACATCAGCCACACTATCAGAGGCTCGTTCACCTGCACATCCACCAATGTGATATATGCCATCATGTGCCAGCAATGCCCCTCTGCCATGTACATTGGAGAGTCTCTACGTAAAAGAATAAATGGACACAAATCAGATGTCAAGAATTATAACATTCATAAACCAGTCGGAGGACACTTCAATCTCTCTGGTCACGCGATTACAGACATGAAAGTTGCGATATTACAACAAAAAAACCTTCAAATCCAGACTCCAGCGAGAGACTGCTGAATTGGAATTCATTTGGAAATTGGATACAATTAACTTAGGCTTGACTAGAGACTGGGAGTGGCTAAGTCATTATGCAAGGTAACCTATTTCCCCTTGTTTTTTCCTACCTCCCCCCCCCCCCCCGACGTTCTTGTTAAACCCTGGATTTGTGCTGGAAATGGCCCACCTTGATTATCATACACATTGTAAGGAGTGGTGTCATTTTAGATAAGCTATTACCATCAGGAGAGTGGGGTGGGGGGAGGTATTTTTTCATGCTTTGTGTGTATAAAAAGATCTTCTACACTTTCCACAGTATGCATCCGATGAAGTGCGCTGTAGCTCATGAAGTAGCTCATAAAGTACTCCTTTTCTTTATGCTTCTTGAAGAATCTTTGAAACAAACAAACAAACACACACACACACACTCCAGCTCCTAAAAGATTTAAGTAGATATAGTCATTTTAAATATTCCTAGTGTGTTCCTCTCTTTGTAGCTGTAATTAAGTAGTGTTGCTATTTCTACTACTTAGCAGTTTGGAGTTTTTTTTAAAAACAGCCCTTACCACTTATTATTCCTGTCTTCCCCATCCCCACTTCTTGAGTTCTGCTGTAGTCTTTTACATTCTCCTAACAGCACTGCAAAACAATTCTGCTTAACAGCAATTTGAGCAGATTGAATTAGTCTTTTATTTTAATTTCTTGAACAACTGCAAATAGATACTATACTTACAAGAAATATAAAACATTCTGATCTACTGAATTTGAATGCAATTGCTGAGTCACTAAAACAGAATTTATAAAGTGAACAGTAGCCATCTCCGATTTATTATCCACTATATAGGTGTACTTAAATTTAATTTCAAGGGGACTAGTCACAGTAGTAAACTTAGGCACACTTAAGGGCTTGCCTACATGTAAAACATTGCAGCAACACAGTTGTGCCACTGTAGCGCTACTGTGAAGACACTACTCATGTCCATGGGAGACTTCTCCTGTCAGCATAGGAGCCAGTTCGACAGGAGAATTCACACCCTTGAGTGATGTAGTTATACTGACCAAATTTTCTAGTGTAAGTCAAGCCTTAGGGTTTACAGGATAAGGGCTTAACTGTTCCCCTCCCTCCTCCTCATTGTTTGGGAAATGGAAACAGGGAATAGTCATCCCTCCCCGACATACAGCCATAGGCAGAAATTTACTCCTGTGGGGGAAGTCTACACTTCTTGAAAAGGAATTGCATTTTTGCTGCATTAAATTATGATCTACCATTTCCTGAAAAATACATCTTATTCAAAAGGACGCTCAAAGAAAGAACTGGAAAAGAGAACTAATAAAAGCATGCTTTTTGTCCCATTCTCCCCCCCCCCCCATGAATGATACACTATATCATCGCTTGTATTAAAATTCAATATGCTTAAACAGCATAATCATACACTGCCATACATGGGCAAATCACCCTCCTCCCCCCACCTCCACTTTTTGTCTTGTTGGTTCTATTTTTTTTCCTGTGGAAGTCATTAATTAAAAAGATTTATTTAAAGTCATTTATTACTGCAGAAGTAGACTAATATGATTTAATACTTTACCAAGCTCTAAACTATTGAGCCATGCGAATAGAACAAATGCAGTCCAGGAACTCTGTGCTAGCATGAATCACAAAACAGAATCTATAATTGCCAATATAAAACATCCAGCCTCGGAAGAAGTTAAAGCAGGGGACTGGTAGCCAAGACTCTTGTGTTCCATTCCCTCCTTTACCATTGACTTACTATCTAGCCTAGAACAACTAATTCACTATGGTTCATTTAATCTCTTTATAAATGGGAATACCTCAGGATTTTTTATGTTTGTGAAATGTTTTGAGTTCCCTCTGTGAAAGACAGATAGAAGTGCAACTATTAATGAGCAAGATTTTCCTCTAGCCTGTCAACTCAATGCTGACCTACAGTCCTTCTACTATTCCAACAGAGAGTCAAATGTGGGAGTTTGTTTTCCCTGTCTCATAAACAGCCAATTGTAGCCTTTTTTCTATATATGACAAGCTTCTAATTCATATGTAAGAATATCTGAATTAATTAAGGCCTTTTGTTTTAATCTTCCCTTACATCTGTTCCACAGTCAATGACAAATTTCCATAGCAACTGAAATTGGGGAGTTTCCATCTAAGCACTCAATACTATTTTTGAATGTTACTTGTTAATACCAATCCACTACCTTCAAGATTATTTTCTTGTTCAGTGGAGAATATATCCTAAAGTTTTAATATTAAATAATAAATATTCAGGGCAGTTATAATATTTCAGTTGTGATAAAGAAAATAGAAAATTAATACACAAAGTATCAATTTACAGACTTTAACACAGACAAAAGGCTCGAAAAGCATAAAGCATAAATCAAACAGCTTGAGAGTTGTCCTATCCAATTTTTATAATTTTGTATTACACGTCTGAATTTTTATACATTTTCTTTAAGAATAATGCGAGCAGCTCGATTTATGATATCAACTGCTCTGCATGTCATCTGAGCAGTGTTATACGGTGATTGGCCGGTCTATACTGACAGGCTCTATTTTGAAAATATGGAGGCTTAATAATTTAGGGGGAAAACTTGGATATGTTATACATGTGAAGAATTTTCTATTTTTCTTGTAAGTATGTAATTTACGATACTTATAGTTTATGGACACAATCTGGCAATCAATTTAACTTTATTCATGTGAGTAGTCCTACTAAGTTCAACAGGACTACTCACATGATTAAAGATACGCATGTCCCTATATTGTATATGAGGACCATATACAATATGCAAAACAATTAAGTGTATATTGTGATAACTTTTAAATTTTGATTCTATTCTGAAAAGTGATTGTAAAAAAACAAACACACTCCACCTTGCTCAGTAGTTCTACTCCCTGTGAATATGCAGATTCATCTCTGATTACCTAATTTTACTACTCTCATCTCTGAGAACCAACACAGCAGTGAGCGTTTTCCCAGGATTCTTTTCTGACTTGCATATTGAATTTTCAACAAAATATCAAACGCAGGAACTCTGGTAAAACCCCACTGTCTTCAAATTATGCTCTAATTTACACTTGTGCACCCCATTATAAGTGATATATAAAAACTGACACACACAGGTTTTTCCAGTGCATATATTTTGAACATCCCGAAATTGCCACCTTTGCTGGACATTGCTACATTCCATGAGTTTGTCCCCATTTCTTTCAGGCAGGACATTACAATTATTGAATTCAGTTTGGGCAGATTAAAAAGAAAATAAAACTGCTTGTATAATGACAATATGAAATTGGCCTGAATTTCATCACTGCAACTTCACTTTTTATTTGCTGGTCTTTAGTAGAATTACCCAAATGATAATGACTCGGCATAACCAATGTGGGTTTTTATTCAGGTTGAATCTATTAGAAAGTATGAAGCTGTTTAACAAGATAAAGATTTTTTTTTAATATAATAGAAAGTATGTATGTATAATACCTCAATGCAGATATGATGCATTCCACCAGCCTTGTTTTTTTGCAGAAAGCCTGAAATTGGACTTTTTTCTCCCAGAGGGTGCAGCAGTTCCAGCTTTGTGTTTCCCAGCTCCACAAAAACAGTGTAGACGCCATGTTCAGGAAGAGGAACTGTCTCACTCACCTGGGCTCCTAAAACACTCTTGTAAAAAGACTGGGCCTTTTCCAAATCAGGTACCGCAATTGCTACATGATTGAGTCGCCCCAATTTCCACAAAGAGCATGGAACTTTTTGAGTTAAGGAGCGTGACACTGATAAAGTCCGTACCGTGTGTGCTGTAGTTTGCAATCTGGTAAGAAGCCCTGTAAAATTGAATGACATCGTCATAATCCTTTTGAAAAAAAATTAATGCACGTCCTTTCCCCTTTTAATGAAGCCCAAATAACTCCTATGTCCTTACATTTATGGTATGCTAAAGACAGAGATAAGAAGATAGCAGGGAAGCATTTCCTCTTCTTCTGCTATCAGTTCAATGGCTTTTTTTGTTCTGAAACAAATTAATTCAGAGGAGGTAAATGAAGAATTTATAGCATGAATGCTCAGATGTGTCCATTACAAACAACAATAGGGATTTTTTTAAAAAGTTAATTTTAAGCTTCAGTTGAGTTTGGTATGAAAATAAAGATTTTCATAATTATATGCACAAGTTTATAGAATTTAAGGGCCAGTTACACACCACTAACCTGTACATTGTTTTTGTATTATTCAGAGCTTCACATTTAATAAAATAGAAATAAGGATGTAAAAAAAACCTGTCTAAACATAATGAAGAACTAATATATTTATTCCTAAAGCCCAAATACCTATAGAAAGGTGAACAATCTTAGTTGCTTCCCAGTGGAGGGAGATGTGATCAAATGTTAAGTCACAAGAGTGGTAGCCAATAACTCCCAAGTTTTATTCCATCTCTGCTATTCCATCCCTCTGTGATGTTGGGTAGATCATTTTGCCTCTCTTCCTTTCTTAGTTTTCACATTTGTATAATGGACTAATACTTCCTATATCACAGGACTGTTTGAGGATAAAAAGTTAGTGAAATGCTCTACAGCTGGAAAGAATTCTAAGGATTATTCTGTTTAACATACAGCATCCTTCTACAGTTACCAACTTTGTAATATTTACATACCAGATACTCCAGCAGAATTGCCGGAACCTCCCCTGCCCCAGCTCTCCCCGAGGCCCCATCATGCCCTGCCTCTTTCCCGAAGGCCTCACCCCTCCATTTGCTCCTCTTCCTCCTCTCTCCCCTGTTGCTCATTGCTTTTCCCCTCTCCCGCCTCTACTCCCCTCTGCCTGGGTCAGTAGGGTCTTGCCTGCGGAGGCCAGGGCTTGGAGCTGCAGCCGCCCGATGCAGGTAGGAGGCGGCCGTGGCTGAGTACAAGCTGGTGTGGGTGATGACCTGGTGCCTCCCTCACCCACAGTAACCAGACTTTGGGTGTCTGGTCAGTAGCTCTGACTGGACGTTCTGGTCGAAAACCTGACACCTGGCCACCCTATCCCCTTCTTAGCCATTTTAAGGGTATTCCATCTCAAAGCATTTGCTAGGGCCAAATGTTGTTTGCTCCATTAATGCAAACAGTTTCTCTGACTTCAATGTGACTACTTGCATGAGAAACGGAGCAGAGTTTGGTTCAGAATGTACGCATAAGGTCATTAACAATATGGTCACCTGATGGCATAAAGGCAGGGGTCTACATCCAGGCAGAAATGGGTGAATAAGATCTGAGACAATTTAGTCATGGAAAGGCTCACTGGCATGAGAAACAACATGGACCAACAATTATGGCAGCTGAGCTCTTTGTGGATTTCTCTGAGGAGGCCCTTGTTGAACTTTAACCTGCCTCTGTGGACTCCTGTCTACTCATATTGGACTATTGTCAGGGCTGTATATTTGTCAGTAGAATAAGTGATTTTCATTTTATACACACACACACACACGTCAGTCCAATACTTAGCATTATGATTTTTTCTTGTGACTGGCTATGAACCAATTCCACTGAGAAATTTGAGAGCTTGGAGTTAAAACCTGGGATGCACGACAGGCTTAGAGAAGGAAGGATCTCATAATTAGGAATAGTGGTTTGCTATAGTGGTTCATGGATTTTGCCATTTCTCTTGGTTGTGGGGTTTTTTTGGGAGTGGGGATAGAGAAGTGCCATGAGTTTGCACAGCTTGTTTAAGAGGCATCTGTACAGCAATGCTGCTCCTGCTGCCTTTGCAGAGGAGGAAGTCTGTAGCAAAGAATAAGAGATATTAAGTATATTTAGAATATAGAGGTGAACTATAAGTATTAATTAATGTTGTAACATAGGTCCTCAGATCTGTGAGATATTCAGCTTAGCCACACAAGGCCTTAGGCCTGAAACTGATGTGCATGACTAGTTGACTGAAAGATAATCCTGTACCAGTGAAGTGTAAAATTGCAGTAAAATACATGTTACTGCATAGTTTCCAGAACATCAGCATTTAATAGACTGGAAACTATGGCACAATGTACCAGTTAATGCCACAAGATGCCCAATAACAACATTTTGGGGAATTCTATAATAACCTCAAGTTGCTATAGTACATAGATATTAATGAGAATAAGGGGTAGTAAGGAGACACCCAGTAAGAGATGGGGCATCCCTAAATTAATGGCATATGGAAGTATGGATAAGGAAAAAGAGATTGGAACCCTTATGCATATCTATGAGCAGCAGTAGGCATAAGCATACCTCAGAATAAAAAGTTGTTGTCCAGCCTGAGTGCTGGGGTGGGTGTGGGAAAACACAGGGGGAAGACACCAGGATGACAAATGGTTGATGAGGACAATGAAGATAATGACTGACACTCCAAGGTCCCCTAGCAGGAGATGTGAGTGATGTCAGTCCTAGGGCTTAACACTGTCTCTCTATCTGCTCTTGTATTTCAGCGTTGGTGGGATTGTTTATCTGCTTAGTGGATTTATCAATAAAGGGACTTGTGATAAATTGCAATTCTTTCTCATGTGCTTCTAAGGTCTCTAATTCTAATGATCCTGATCAATATTCCTGATACTGTAGCCCTCAGGAGACAGAATATTTATTGACCACTGCAGTCTAAGAGATTGAATGATTATTTATTGATTGAAATTGATTAATCTCCAATCAATACTAAGGCTCCAGGTTAGAGAAGAACACTGAAGAACTGTGCAGAGGAAGTGATTCAGTACTGATCTAGGTCTCGATTCTACACTATTGAAGTCTATAGGAGCTTTGACATTGACTTCAGTAGATACAAATTCAGATCTTTGAGGACGAGTACCACCTACTGAGTCACCTATAACAATTAGGTTAGTTTTCTCTTCCAAATACTGGCCATTCCCATTTCTGCTTAGCTTGCTAAAAATGCTTGATTTTTAAGAATATTGCAGTAGAATTGAACTGGCAGGCCCTGGGAGAGGGGTTGTAAATGGTTGAAGCCATTACTTAAATAATTTTGAACAGTTTTCATTGTAAAATAAATATTTTAATTAAAACAGAAACAGGCCATAAGACTTATGAACAGGAAACAACACAAACATATGGTCTGTCTATGTGAATGTCTAGGGCCTCCTCAGCTGACTGCAGAGATAATCAGAGGAAACTACAGCATGAGAAAGAGGGTTTAAATTAGGATTACAAACTCCAGCAAGGGCACCCACCTTCAGGCTTCCGGCTCATCAGCCTTTACCACTCTTGGGCAGAGCCCTGTGTCTCTTTCCCTCCTGACGGGTTTTCCAGGCTGCACAGTTCCCTGACTAAACTATGAAGTCCCCAGCAAGGCAGAGTGCCTAGGCAGGCCTGCTTTGATTTTATCCTCAGAGGCTAACAACAGGGCAATTGCCCACGGTTATGCTTGCTCAGAAAGAGCAGTATGGTATTTATTCTTACAAATAAGACATTAAAAACAGTAAAAACATACACATATGCTAATAAGCTTACCAGAGATCACCCCAACTCCAACAAAAGCTCTGGCAGGTGAACACTCCTTCAAACCCCTCCAAGGGTTTTTCTGTGGTCACAAGTTCGTAACTGCCTTGACTCAAAACAGGCACCCCCATTAATCTGTGAGTCGCTCTTTTATCCAGTTTGGGTCTTTCTGATCTGTCCTCATATAACAAGCACTCAACAGACAAAAGGTCCTCTCCTTCTTACATTTGCATACATAACCCCCTAGAGATTTCCTGAGAAACACACAACTTTCAAGGCAAGTCTACTCTAGAAGCACTACATTGGCACAGCTGCACTGCTGTAGCACGTCTGGTGAAGACGCTCTGTGCCAAAGGGAGAGCGCTCTCTCGTTGGCATAATTACTCCACCTCTGCAAGAGGCAAAAGTTATGTCAGCGGGAGATCGTCTCCCATCAACATAGCGCCAGTATGAACAGTGCTTAGGTCACTGTAACTTGTGTCACTCAGAGGGGGGTGGGGGCATCTTTTCCACAACCCTGAGCAACATAAGTTAGATCAACTTAAGCAGTAATGTAGACCTGCCCTAAAAGTTCATTCCTATCTGCCCCATTGTTTAGAAGAATCTTCTAAAGTTCACAACACTTCCCAGGGTTTCCATAGTCATGTTTCCTAAAGAAGTCCCATACAATCCCACAATAATGTATAAACATTTGCCTTTTAATTACAATTAACTCCTAAAATACTTAAACTTAATTCAGTAAATTTGGTCCATGGTATTGCAGGAAATTGCATATTCTGATATATAAAATGGCTTGCTAAAAAGTTAATCTGTTGACAGTGGGTGCTGGAATTTTCTGGGGGTGGGGAGGGGGAGGAAGGTACGGTGAAGACAGGGGAAGGAGGGCAGGGCAGGGCAGATCTCCCATCACTAGACTACTGCTGCCAGAATGAGATACAAGTATGTATACATGAAACCAGTGGTTACATTTTATGCCAGTTTTTGCTTTAGACCATGTCAAAGCTCCCAATGCCTCAAGGCCAAGCTTGAGTATCAGAAGCCTTTTATGTATTCTCAACTTCTTTACAACCTCAAATGCACAATTCTGCTATGAAATTGTGCCAAGGATGCATTGAGGCTTTGGATGTTTTGTAGAACATACAGAATAGGTTGGTTTACGTATTTTCCAGTTTCTGTATTCTTTGGCTTGGTCTACACTTAAACAACTCAGGTTGACATACTTACGATGCTCAAGGGCGTGAAAAATTCATGCCCTGACCACCATAGCTTGGCCAACCTAAACCCCGGTTTTGATACAGCTATGACGGAAGAATGCTTCTGCCAACCTAGCTACTGTCTCACAGGGAGGTGAAGTTCCCACAGCAACAGAAAAACCTCTTCCATTGCTGTAGCCTGCGTCTACACTACTGGGTTACAGTGGCATAGCTATGGTGCAATAGCTATGCTGCTGTAACACCCACCGCATAAACATGGCCTCTGTAGTGTAAAGCAAGTAAGTTTGCTTTCTTCTGGTGACTGGTTTTGTTGTCTCTGGCATAGATTTTTTAGTCAGACAAATGTCTCTCCATTGACTTTAACTGAATTATTCATGATTTACTCCACTGTATATAAGAGAAGAACCAGGCTCTCTGCTCATTGTGTAGCCCAGACTACTTTGACTGAAGCATTTTTCCTGGTTGAAATTTGCAGATGCTGACCATGTGTAGATAAATTCTTACGTGCAATTTCTTTTTTCTTTCTTCTTCTAATGCAGTCAACATCAATGTCCACGGGGTATTTTGAAGACCTACTTTTTAAATGTACCCATCTCATGTTTCTAGGGATGGTTCAGAGACATTGCCCTTTAAAGAAATATATGAAAACAGGATCCACATAAATTTCTTAGTCATCTTCCCCATTTCACTGAGATTATAGAATGCATGTTATGTCACTTTCTTCAACTATAGTACTTTTAAAAAATCATTCTTAATGATTCTAAGCAGTATCTATTTGGACTACCTATTCAATTCATTATATTGGTGTTCACTGATCACCAGCAGAGTGTTCAGCAGAATTCAGACACACACAAAATAGCTCCCGTCCCAAGGAGCTTGCACTCTAATACAGACAAAACAATTTTAAAAGCTGGGGGGCTGATGCAGCATCCATTATAAAATTAAGTCAGCACATACTTAATTACAACACATTTCAATGGTGCAGGATCAGATATTTTATTTTTTAATCAATGGGAGCTGCACAACCAATGTAATGGTTACATCAAACACATGCGGAGTCCCATTGAACTCAATAATAATACATGTGAGAGAGGTTATACATGAGAGTCACCATTACAGGATAATGCCCTTCGGAACAATTCTCAAGTATGCTGAAGGAAAGCTACCCTAAAATTCCAGAGCAGGAAGGGTCCTCATGTGGCATAGAGCCACTAGTATATCCAACACCACCTCCCAGTCCCTGAGGACAGTGAACATAGGGCATGGGTTAGTTATTCCTAAACACCAGCAATCTCCAAGTGCCATTAACAAGCCAGCACAATTTACACAGCCTTTGGGCTTCTGTAATTTATATTGGGGATTGCTCCAGATGACCCCAGAATCCAGGGAATCAGAAAGTTTGTACTATCCCATAAAATGGACTGAGTATTCTTAGGTATTTTAGCTGCCTGTCTCATACTAATGACCAGACAGCACTCTGCTTCTTCTTTGATAGTCCCCGTTTGAGATCGAGTCCATGGCTAAATTGCACAATAATTTAGTTTTGGTACTGTAATTGAGATCAAACAATCTTTAACTCTTTAGAGAGAAAAGAATCATGTCTCCACATAAGGGAAGGAAGAGAAGTTTGCATGTAACATCCAAGATAAGTATTAAAAAAGTAGGCATTATGCTTCAGGTTTGCCCCATAAGGCTTAACACCCTTTATTTTTCACAAGAAAACAGAAGATTCTAACCAAGACAAAATCCAATTTTAAGAGTTATTCTAACAATCATCTGTACATTCCAAAAAATTCTATTCATAGAGTAAATACATCCACATTTTCTTTCTTATTGTGCTTAGTATTAAAAACAACCAAACTGGTCTAACACTCTTGCACTGAAAACTTGGGTGAGTTCTTTATTTTATTTACAAACAGAAAGTCATCTACATTTAACAATATATCTAACAAAAAACACTGCAAACGTTTAGCAATGTTGAAACTATGTATGAAAATAAGAAAAAATGTGGGTATGTAGCACATTTCGTCTGTGGGAAATCGGGAAGTTTGCTTATAAGATGCATTAATTCTACATATCTAAGAAAAATGACGTCCTGAAGTAATCCTTCAAGAAGCTCCATGTGGATAGCATCCTGCACCTATTAAAGACAAGAGACCTCTATGCAGAGATCTGACCATACAGAGCAACTTAAGGATCAGAATCTAAAACTGCAATACTCCACAACCCAGCAGTCTGAATTATTAGGATCACAAATAAATAAATAAATAATAGAGCATTTAAACTGTACAGAAATACTCCTCACGCACAATTTCATGACTTCTCACAATTAATTAAAATAATAAATTCTCATCTGTCGATATCAATAGCTTTCACAAGGCAAAAACTATTTTACAGAAAGGGAAACTGAGTCACAGAAGCTAAGTGACTTACCAAAGGTCAGACAAGTCTATGGCAGAGTCAAAAAAATACAAGCCAGGATTCTTGACTAAGTCCCATGTCCCATCCACTGAGTCACTACCCAGGAGCCACTCCTCAGCGTGAACAACCACCCATTTGCACTCACCTACTCAGCGTGGGTGATCTGCACCTTCCCCCTAAATATCTTTACCAGGTGCAATTCTCCTTCCATGACCTCCACCGTTGTCTGTACACACTGTTCCTCTAACAGGGGTACTTTGTATATCCTGTTTTTACCCCTATACTTAGCATGTGCAATTCCCCTGTCATGAACTCCCCCACCCCACGACCTATTTAACACGTGTCTCTGGCCGTCCTCGCTTCCCCACCTGCCCCCCTTATTCAGCGCGTTCAGGCTCCCGCTGCACCGCTCAGTATCTACCTGCTGCTACTTTCCCCATGCAGGCTGCCATCTTGTCTCCTGGCTCTTCAAATCTAACTTTATCGAGAGCCTCTTCCCGCGAGCACAGCGGCAAAGGCAGGAGGGGCCGGGCTGGCCGGCCGGCGCAGAGCCAGGCTGTGCTCTCAGCGGGGCAGCCCCTGCTTTTGCCACTGCAGGGAGCTGCCCTCCAAGGCGGGGGGCACAGAGCTGCGGCAAAGCCCAGTTCTGCAAAAGGAAATCATCAGCCTCTGGCTGTGAGCAGCACCACCAGCGACTGGGTGAAGAAGCGATTCCGTTATTTGCTCCAAAATAAAATGTTTAATAGCTTGAAACATGCTGATTTTTCATTTTGTGCAGAAACTTTCTCCTGGCAACAGCGTTGGCGCTAATGAAAATTAGTGTTACCAACTCTTGTGATTTTATTGTGAGTTTTGCATTAATGGTTTTTCCTTAAAGGCCCAGCCCCTGGAGTCAGGAATTATGTGTCTCTATGTGAGAGAAGCAGCTGAGACAAAGAAAGAAAGATTAAAGAAGCCCAGAGAAGCAAGAGAAGCCCCAGTAGTATGACCCTCAGAAAAAAATGAGAGAGAGCTTTTGGGTAAAGTGCTGTCAGAAAGAGCCTGGGAACTGTGACCAAATAACCTTCTGTTGTTTGAGTCCTATTGTGTTCATGGAAACCAGATTTTATAATTTATTTTAGATAAACAAGATTGTATCAAAAAGATACCATACCTGACTCCACCACCCATTTCTTCTCCTCGCTGAAACAACCTTCAAGACTCCCAAAACTGGGTAACTGCTTTAATCAAATAGGGATCTGTCTCCCCTCTCCCTCTATGAGAGTGTGGAAGGCTCTGAGTGGAGTTGAAGGAGTGTATGTGGAAAGTACACACCATATACGAACATTCAGTGCACTGTAAAGCTCAGCCTCACGATTGAGGGGGAGTGGGAGCTCCCTTCATCCCAACGCCCAGGGGAGGTTTTAAGAGGTGGACTGTGACAATAGCTGGGATGAGACCAATAAGATCCATTACTATGTGGATCTATCAAAACTCTGCAGAATGGGAAGAACCACACAGGAGACAAGGTTACTGTAACCCCAGAGAATAACAGTTGAGTGGCTTTGCAAATTGCAGCCTGGGAGGTAGGTGGATTCCTCCCTTCCCACAACACTTCCCCAACTGCTGCAGAAGCTCCTGGCCTAGTGCATAGTTTGACCTTCAGTAATAATCTTGAAGGAAATTATCATGTAATGTGTTAGCATGGATTAATGTTTTTCTTTCTAATACATCAGTTCTGTGAATATGTGCCTGGGTGAATTTTGAGTTTAGTGATGCAAAATACCATCAGGCATTTTGTTCTCAATGTCTGCTGAAAATGTATGTTAAAAAAATAGTTGAATCTAGGTCACAGAGACAAAACTGCATAGTAAAATAACTGTACAGTTACTATATTTAGCAAATGTGTTCAGTGCTAATAACCATCCAAATCTAGGGTAGTATTAAAGTCACGCAAGGGGAGAAAACAACAATTATACAACATACCGTTTTAGGGTCTGCTGTTGTAAATCTTTATTCTCACAAGTACTCCCACTTAAATTAATGGGATTATTCATTCGAGCAAACAATTGAGGATCAGAATATATTTTTATATAGTGTCTTCCAAACAAGGTGTATCCCTAAAGCACTTTGCAAAATCCTGCAATTTGTCTCAATCCTGCAATTCCCTTTTTATGGCAAACCCTTGGGTCTGTGCAAATGCTCACTGGATCTACCTATGTGCAGGCAGTATACAGTGTAAAATCCAGGGAATGTTGGTAGAAAGATATTATATGGTAAATAAAAATATTCCATTCAAGAAGTGTAGACTGAGAGGGGGGAAATATTTTGTTTAAAAGAAGGTTTAAAAAGAGGTAAAGATTCAATGACAGAGAGGTATACTTGGACAACTGCTCCAGAAGGTAGGAGCTGCAGAGGAGAAGGCTCTTACACAACTAGTGGTGAGACTATGGGAAAGGACAGAGAGGAGGCGAGTTTTACTTTAGTGCAGGGAGCAGGCAAGGAAATAAACAAGGTATAGTATTAAAATTGTTATAATAGTAACAATGTCCCACACTTTATTTACTATATATTACATAAATATATACAAGTACATTAGTGCCATTACTCTAAAATCCACACTCAAGATTTCTGTCCCCACCGTGTACACTCAGCTTATTAAATGAAACTAGTAAAAAAATAAAAGGTCTGTCTGAATAGAATTAATAAAATTGTCAAAATAATTGGATAAAACCATATGGTTTTCTAGACTGCAAGCAAGTTATAATGCCTCTTCCAAAAGTAACTATAGCTGGCATATTGCTTACTGAGAATTTGTTAATTGCTAACAGACCTTGTGATTTGTCCTTTGGGAATATCTGAGATTGTCTTGCAGGTTCCTAGGGTGTGGGAGGAAAAGAGATCATTGTAGTCTTAGGAAGAACAATTATTTTCTACCTCCAAGTGAAGCAAAAAGGATTTCTGAATCTGTATATAGTGAGTGGGGGGTCAGGGGCTTGTGGAGGAATGGGGAGAGAATTCTATGCAAAGGTGGGTTTTGGGTGAAGAATTCTGGATAAGCATACTTGTATGTGGAAGTGGAGGAGTAGGATTCCTGGGGAGAAGAGTTTGGGGAGGGAGTTGGGGAATTTAAAGAGGGGGTAATTGAAAATACCAAAAGGGAGTGTCTGGGGGTAATTGTAAGCAGGGGGTTGCAATAATGGGAATGGGTATCTAATGGGTATCTATCGAAAGGAGGAAGATCAGAGATGAGTGACAGTGCAAGACATAGGGGAAGGGAGCTTGAAGGATTAGGGGATATAGTGGATGTATAAGAGACTGAGTTAATGCATGGGAGATAGAGGATGTGATTGAGAGAGCTGTCAAAACACTGCCAATCTTTCATCAAATCCTCCCACTCTAACTCTCTCTGCTGGGTGTCCAGTTTCACTCTCAAAAGCAAGTCATAGAATATCAGGGTTGGTAGGGACCACAGGAGGTCATCAAGTCCAACCCCCTGCTCAAAGCAGGAGGGATCCCCAATTTTTGGGCCAGATCCCTAAATGGGCCCCTCAAGGATTGAACTCTCAACGCTGGGTTTAGCAGGTCAATGCTCAAACCACCAAGCTATCCTTCCTCAAAGGGATAGTTATGAAGGGAGAGAGAGTAGACCAGAGAGGAAAGGAGGTGGCACAAAATGGTGGGTCTTGCTCACCTACAGACACAGGACTTATTTGGGCGCACAAGCTATCTTTGCCTATAGAGAAGAACCCGCTACCATTTTCAAAATTAAATGAGAAAAACCTTGTAGCCTCCATGCTAGGTTTTTAATAAAACCAATAGAGACTGCCCAATAACACCATGTCTCGAAGTCTGAACAGCCTCCTTTGGGGGCCTTTCTCGAACTCTCCCCTTCCATAGCATGGCCTCTACCGCTCCGACAGCATCACGCATGCCGGGAGCTTGGAGGTAGCCCCTGGGGGCGGGAGCTGGGCAGGCGTGACACTGGCAGCGCAGTGAAGGGCCTACGCAGCGCGGGGGGCAGAGCAGCCTCCTGGGGCGCGAGAAGCGCGTGTGGGCAGGAGCCGGGCCCGGCCGCGTAACCCATGTGGTGCAGGGGGCAGTGCGGTTTCCGTGGCACCCAGAGCCTCTCCTCTGTGATACATTTGAAAGCTGTTTTGGAAGCTACTCCCGTGGGGGCAGGAATTTGCTGGCGTGAACGAGTCCCCGGCCTTGCAATCCCTTCCGCAATCCCTTCCCCTTCCGGGAGGGTGTCCCTCCCTGCGGCACACGCGGCCGCCCGGCCGGGGACGAAGGAGAATCCCGAGGCGGAACCCTTGCGAGGCGGAACCTTTCTGCCAGTGCCCGCGTTGGGGTCCGGAGCGGGTCGGCGGACTTGTTCGCCGGAGCTCCGGTGTGCCTGAGGCCCCGCCTCCCGACCTCTTCCCATGTGGGTCTGAGACTCCGAGTAGAGGCTGAAGATGGCGGCGCCCAGGCAGCGGCTGGAGACGTGTCTGAAGCTGCTAGGTGCTGCCGCGGCGCAGCCGGAGCGCTTCCTCAGGTGAAGCTCCCTACGGCGCCCCCCCTTCAGGAAGCCCCAGCTCGGGGGCAGGCCGCCGCCGCGGCTCCCCTGGCTCGCTCATCCCCTGGCCTGGCCTGGCCTGGGCTGCGCTGTGGGCGCTCCTTCTGATAACCCGTCCTGCTCCCTCCCCTCATCCCAGCGGAGAGCTTCAGACCCCGGGCACACCCCCTGCTTTGCCCCCTCTGTGCCTTCCCTGGGTAACGACGTACTGCAGCCCCATTGCCAGCCCCACTCGTGGGGAGGGTGGGGGATGGTCCTAGCTCCCTGGGGTTTTTGCCAGGCGAGCACCAGGCCTCCTGTTCTGCTATTTGGAGTGACCCAGTTATTTTCTTGATGATTATAATTTTATTGTATTTCTAAAGCACTTTGGGGCCACAGTCATGGATCAGGACCCTATTGTGCTCGGTGCTGTACAAATACCTTCATTAAAAAAAATAAAAGCAAGTCTCTACCACTCATGGTTGAAGGGGAAATCTTGCAAATGTGATCTAAATATAATGTAAAAGTTTGGAAACAAGAAAGACTTTTTAAAATCTCATTATTAAGACAATTTCATGATTTTGAGGACTTGATTTGTAATTTTTGAAGACTCAGGACTGGCAGTTCTTTGTTAATTAGCCCACCCAACCTTGTTTTCTGTGTTAGAGAGAACGTGTCTATAAGTTTCACTTGCATGATTAAAACGAACAGTTTTATTTCTATAATTAAACAAACTTTAAATGGGCCTAAATCTGTTTTTTGTCATTTAAGGAAAGATTTAATTTAGGTATATGTTAAAGCTCAGATAATTCTGTGGTCTTCTGTTGATGTGATGATTGAATTAAGCTTAAAAAAGGGACTTTAAATCTCAGTGAAACACAGAGAAAAATCCTTTTTAGCAACAGGGAGATATTTTAAAAACTACTTATACAAGGATTTCCTCATTTACATGTG